GAGAGAGAGAGAGAGAGAGAGAGAGAGAGAGAGAGAAAGACAACAGAGACAGAAAGAGAGAGAAAAAAAATAAGACAACAGACACACACAGACAAAGACAAAGCAGAGACACAGACCAGACATGACACGACACACTACACACGACACACATGACACAACTAACCGCCTCCTGCACTCTGTCCATGGCCTGATCTTTCTCCTTCTTCTGACTCTTGAGGTGCTCCTCCCTCTCCTGCATGCGTCTGGCAAACTCCACAATCCTCGCGTTCTCCTCCTCCATCTTCCTCTTCTCTGCAGCCTTCCAGTCCTCCCTGTTGCGTTTGAACTCCTCGATGAACTGCTGCGTGGCCTGGCGCTTCTTCATCTCGCGCTCCAGTTCTCTGGTGAGATGAGATGAGATGAGATAATATGAGATGAGATAAGATAAGATTAGATAGGAAAAGATAAGATTTGGTCAGATGAGATGAGATGAGTCCAGATTTTAAAAAATAAGAAGAGTCCAGATCAAATAAAATGAGATGAGATAAAGAGAGAGAAGTCAGATGAGTTGAGATAAACTTAGATGATGTAAGATAAGATATTATAAGGCTAGGCAAGATAAGATAAAATGAGATGACATCAAACAAGGTCAACTGATGTGTGGCTTGTCTCTTCTTCATTTGTCATTCCAGCTCTCAGAGATAAGATAAGAAGGATGAGATAAGATGAGATGACATAAGATGAGATCTCATACGATCAGATCAGATGAGACAAGATGAGATGAGATATGATATGACATGAAAAGATAAGATAGTAATCAGACAATCATCCATCTATCTCTCCGACAATCTAGGCGTCTCCCTCCACAACGCCACGATGACAGACCCACCTCTGATCCTCCTCGTAAATCTTGCGGACAATCTCGTCGATCATGAGTTTCTCCTTGAGGAACTCCTCGTAGGCTTGTTGTTTCTGGGCCTCTTGTTCCTCCAGCTGGCGCTCCAGTTCTTGTTGGTACCTCACCTGGTTGGG